AAAAAGCCACTGGCTGGGTCACGCTCCCCTGCATGGCACCTACTCCTGTCGTGTCCCTCCAGTCCCCTACTCCAGCGCCCAGCACAGGGGCTCCAACAGGAGCCAAGCGAAGCACTTCCCACAAGAGAAGGAGAAGGAGCTGTTATTTCCCCATCCTGAGGTTGAACACAGTCCCAGATGTGGAGTCCCCGCTTTGGGACACTAGTGCCCAGCCCCTCATGTCATCTATGTGAGATTCACGGTGCTTGGATCTCACCACCTGCAGAGCTTTGGGTCTCCTGGGGCTGCTCAGGATTTTGGCAAACCCAGCACCCAGGGTGCAAGTCAGACTCATCTGGATACAAGGACCTCCCAAAGTGCCAATCCCTATGTGAAAGTCAGCATAAACGGTTTTTCAGAACTGTCAGGGCAGAGAGAGAAAAATCCACATTTCCAAGACAATATGAACAACGAGGCCCCTTCCTCCTCACCCCCATCTACCCCTGCTCTCCATATCCCTTCCCATCCCATGTTTCCCCTCTCCTGGGGTCCTCAGGCTCCCCTGAATCTCCAGAAATCCAGCTGCTGAGGGGCAAAATGGTTCGCCTGGATTTACCTGGCTGGGAAAGTGTTCAAAAGTACAGGGAAAGGATTCGGCCCTGCAACAGGACCCTGGGCAGTGGGATCACACCAAGTGGCCTCCAAACTCCAGTAGGCAGCACAAGTAACTGGAGAGATGATTTTTTTCTGCCTTCACCCTAAATTTCATTTCTTCTCTGGAAGGAGACTGAGCTCTCCCATGTCACTCATGAAACAGCTCTGTGGTTTCATTTCCTCCATTTTCAAGGAAGTTTGAAGTACACAAATCAAGAAGAGAGAAGCACCACTCATCCAAGTGAACCAGAGCAGATGGCAGAAGCTTCACAGTGGGGCAAAATTCCCATGGTGTTGCTCAAGGTCACACAAAGGGCTGAGACCAGCCAACGAGTACAAACCCACTTCTCATCCCCTAAACCCTGCCACGAGCCCAACCCGCATCCAAAACCACTCACCTGATGCCTGGAGACGCAGGAGCTGGCAGAGGTTTGCCCCAGAGCCAAGAAGTCCTGCAGCCGTAAAACTTAAGCATTCTTATCCACTCTTGGGTGATCTGGAGGCTCCTGGGAGACCCTCTGATGAGGTTCCTTCATGTGGTGCCACCAAAGCGATGATGCTTCAAGGGTCAAACTTCCTCCCTGCAGCCCAAGAGGAGCTGGAAGAGAAAACAACGTGCTTCATCTCCTGCTTTGTCCCTCAGCCCATCACTTTGGCTGACCGAAGCCAGCATAACCCCCCATTCCCAGCAGCAAAGGTGCTGCCAGGCTGCATTTCACCCACACTGACCTCCCCAGAAAGCGGCTACACAGCAGGGCTGCTCCCCGCAAAGCCAGCCCCGCGCCGGGGCAGCTGGCAGCAGCATTGCATTTCACACTGTCCCCACATCCTGCAGCCGGATGGTTTTAAAAACATCCCAAAGCTGCTGCTTGCTCCCCTCCTCTTTCTCTCAAGCAGCATCGTGCCCCCACCCAGCCCTCCCAGTAAGGACTGGATGGGTGTTTTGAGGATGTTTTTACATTATTTTTTAATATCAGCACAGTAAAGGTGATAAGGATTGAGCTGACAGAAGCTGCTGGTCTGATCAGCTCTTCATGAAGCTCCAAGTCCAGCTCAGTGGTGCAGGTGGATTAAACTGGAGGTGAATCAGCCCCTTGCAGTCACATCCACACATGCAGCAGCTTCAATTCCTGCAGCTGCAGGAGAGAACCAGAAATCCCCATATGGTTTTACACCCTGGGAGCTTCCTCCACCTCCTCTTTCCTCCAAAGCATCTTCCCTTCCTTAACAACCCTCAAATTGTCAAGCACAAGCCAACCGTGGGAAAGAAGAAACAACAGCAGAAAACAGCCGCCCCATTGCTACACCTTGGCATGCCCCTTGTTCTCCTGCAGAAAACAGGATTTCTTACAGAGCAGAAGCACCAAGAGAAAGATCACTCACGGTTCACGCACCAGCAGGACCACAGCCTTGGACGAGTCAGGGCAAAGCGAAACAGAAATGTTTCTCCATGGGCTTTCTCCACTCCCACTGCAACAGCTAACTGGGAAGAAAGAAACAAGTTGTTCTGCAAGGGACAATGGTGCAAAGCATCCCCAGAAAGCCTCTGCCTCTGTTCGGTCTCCAGCATTTTGCCTGACAAGGAGAGGATGCAGAGGGAAAAAGAGGTGGGGAGAAGAACCAGCTGCTCTGGAAAACAAGCCTGGGAAGGCTTAGAGAAATACCTACAGAACCATCATGAGCTCCAAGCTCATGGGAAACCACAAACAGCATTACAGAAATTATTATTTTTTACTGTAAGGGTGCCAGAGCACTGGCCCAGGCTGCCCAGAGAGGTTGTGGAGTCTCCTCCTCTGCAGACATTCAAAACCTGACTGGACGTGTTCCTGTGTGACCTGGTCTGGGTGATCCTGCTCTGGCAGGAGTTGAACTGGATGAGCTTTTGAGGTCCCTTCCAACTCCTAATATTCTGTGAGTCTGTGATTAGGTCAGCTCAAGCGACTGACCCCGTTGCAGCAGCATCTTGACCTCATCAGAAAGGGAGAAACAGCCACAGGGTGAGACCAGGAGCAACCAGTTTCTTCCTCCAGCCACTCATTCCCAAGCACTGTGGTCAGCAACAACTCTGAAAATAAACCAAAATCTAAACTTTATCTTTAAAACCCACATGAAATTTTCATTCGCTGCTGGCTGAAGTGTGCACAGGAAGCACAAAGGTATCAAGATACCACAAGTGAAGAAGTTATTTAATTTAATCACTTGCCCTGGATAAAACAAGGGAAGCTGAAGGTCTAACATATCTCAGAAGCTGCTGGTAGTAGTAGTTGCCTCTAATTTAAGATGAACTATGAACATACAAAAGAAAACAGATCACTCATTACATGGCCAAAGCTGAAATGGCCAGTTGGACAGCTTAACTTGAAGCTACAGCTCTGAAAGCTCTCCTGGCTGAATTTCTTGACATGAATCCACCCAGTTTATCCCCAGGGAAGAGCGCAGGCCGTGCC